TTTGACGCAAAATGTTTTGAAGGAGAACTGATCCTGAGGCTATAAAAATTTCAATTCTGATCTAAGTTTGCCTGCACACAGTTGCTGCAATTCTTTGGGACGAAGGTCGAGTTTTTGTGTGAGAAATGGCTAAGCCTGACACTATAGGTATTATCCATATCCAGTCCTGAGCACCGAACTGCTGCTGTTCCAACAAGTTTTATGTCACCAAAAAACGACATTTATATCGCAACATCATTATGGTTCGCTGGTAGTTAAAGGCACGAGTCGGGATTGAATTGATGCGTTATTTTGTTCAAACATTAGGCAAGGGGTGCAATGAGGAACATTAGTGAGGAGAAAAAGCAAAAAGCACCATAGAAAACACTAAATTTCCCTTAGGAGGCCGGCCGTAGTACGACGGAGAGACACAGCGCTGCGAGGAGAGGGAGAACGCGAGATAGTACGTCGTACGCGAGAGGACGCAGAGACCACGTATGCCGTGGTGGATTACGCTGGCAGCGCGGGCAGCGCGGCGGGCAAGGCCTTAGCGCCATTGCCGCGCACTTTTGGGTCGCGATAGTGTCGCGCCCTCAGTGCTTGGGGAGCCCACTATCGCACCCTGGGAAGAACTTCTGCTGGTTGCCTAATCCTGACTCGTGGCTTTAAGTCATGGGTCGGGATTAGATGCCAAGAAGCAAACCCTCCTAGGGTGAAAAAGAAGGGTCTTCGAGTTCAGGTAGAGCGATTTTGTCGCGACTCGAAAGTGCGAAGCACGGCGCTAATGCCTTCCCTTATTTGCTGCCGCGCTACTATCCTTATATCGCGGCATCCTCCTTATACGTGGTGCTTGCGCTCTCTCACATACGGCGTACTCTCCCGCGTTTCCCTCTCCTCGCAGCGCTGTGTCTCTCCGTCACACCACGGCCGGCCTCACAAGGGAATTTTAGTGTTTTCTATGACGCTTTTTGCTTTTTCTCCCACTCAATTTCTCACCGTACTTCTTGGCAAATTCTCGAACAAAGTAACACATCAACTCGATCCCAATCAATGCCTTTAACGCTGCGACGCGAGCTAGCGTATTTCTTTTTTTTACAGACGCTTAGGGAAAATGATAACAACTTGGTTCCCTTACAGCACAAGGAATCCTTCACTCACCCCGAGCTCCCTCTTCCTGTCAAAATTTCAAAGTAAGCGGGGGACGAACTACATATATGATCAGAACGTCAACTTTATTGCGATAACCCCCTAACCATATCCATGTACACGCTTCAGAAACGAAACCCTAAAAGGGGAGAAAACCCTAGGAAGGAGACACAAAACCTTTCTTCTGAAATTGCACCGTAAAATCAACAGCAATTGACGTAACCTGCCATCGCCCAACTGATTGACGTCGAATGCTACAGTAAGCAACACCACTATCCAACGTACCTCTGCGTCTCGTAATCGTCGTGTATTGATGCACTTGGTTTACAGTCGTGTTCCGTACTGCTTGGACAGCCAGTAAGCGCCTTTACCATAAAATTAAAAGGATAAAGCATTCTCTTTTGATCAAACCCGTCTCTTGGGATGCGGCACGCATTCTACTTCCATTTGTACATTCGTAGTGGCGTTTGAATGCGATGTGGCCTATACAATGACTTGCGGGCCAGCCGATGTACAAGTCAGTGTTTTTATCCTCCCAGACAAGTCTGGTACCAATTAACCGACCCCGGAGGGATGGAAGGCTTGGTTGGTCCGCAAGGCTCGATCCTCGTGCCGCGCGCGTGATTAGCAGCGCCACTTACCACTACATTACCTTTGCCAAACAAAATAGGACTCAATGATTTGGAGAGCAAATCCAAAAATATCTACTGCGAAGTTAAAGTATAGCTTGCAAGGGTTAAAAGTGCCCGGTGAGTTCGTGAACCGGTCGGGATTGATCGGATGCACGCGATTGCCAGTCACGATAGTGAACACTAGTGAACATTTACATGACGCACGATTATCGATCAGTTCTGCGGACATCAGTTGGAACTAAACCAGAATAAAGGTAGTCAGTTATGTGTGGATGTGTTGTATGTCATTCCCTGATTTCTTTTTCGTCCATTACTCAAATTCTTATGTACAGGATTATCCCGAAACCGCGAAAGAGTAGTAAGTCATAGACTCGGTCTTGATTGGAATGCCGTTCTACCCAAGCATGTCTGTTGTGATATAGATGAAGAAGTGCTCTTGTGTGATTTCTTCCGAAATCGGACTAATTTTCAGGCATGGCCCCAGACGGAAATCTGTCCTAAACCTACATCACGGGTACGAAGAACATCGCTTGGCGTCATCATCCCCATCGATGAATTCAATCTTCCGAACATGACTCTCAGATCAGATCTCTGTATATCAACTGTTAAGCGGCGTTCTGTGTTTGCGATTGACTGGTAATATCGCCAACAGCACTTATGTATTGATTTTCTCAATGACGGCTTCAATTTTTTTTGATACAAAAATCTGAGATGTTATATGAGAGTAGCGCTGGCGATATGTCCTGTTCACAGAACGCTGCCTAAGGAAATTTATTTGCTCAGTGGATCAACTCTCACATCTCACACATAGAATAGCACAAATTGATCATAGTTTAAAAATTGTTGAGTGTTTTGGGTGGACATTGAAGTCATTTTCTAGTCATATTCTCTTTGTTCATTTATTGGGCAATGATTACAATTAATTACAGTACATACGTATGATAAAAGGCTGTGTACAAACAATTTTTACGTGAATTCTTACGTTTACGTCGTTTCATTACATTTCGAGTGCGAAAGAATTGCGCGGGTCCCGAATCAGGGTGAAGGGGTGGAGGATAATGTATACCGATGTGATGTTTTCTAGCGGTAAACTCGGCCTCGCCGGGCGTTACCGCGGACGATTAGTCATATTGAGTGCACCAGGAGATCCATGTAAAATTCAGGAAATTTCCCCGTTCCCAGTAGTGTTTCTATCT